CACACCACACACACATACACACAACGCACGCACAAGCATAATCATGGCTAGTATTATACAGTGGTTATTAGATTGGTTAAGAAGCTTGTTCTTCAAGGTGATATACACACGTACTTGCTCTTTATTTTTAGCTCATCCTCGTTATGATAGACTGAAATGGAACTCACTTTGGTTGGTCTTCAGAACAGTGGAAAGACTACACTTGTCAACGTGATTGCAGTAATGTATAGCATGTCTATCTAACTTGTACTTTTTTCTCATATCTTTTTTTTATAGTCTGGACAGTTTATTGAAGATGCCATTCCTACTGTAGGATTTAATATGCGTAAAGTGACCAAAGGTAATGTCACTATGAAGTTGTGGGATATTGGAGGGCAACCACGTTTTAGAAGCATGTGGGAAAGATACTGTCGAGGTGTAAATGCTATAGTGTAAGAAAATAGGTTTATAAAGACAAAAAAGTATTCACTCTTCCTTATTAGCTTTGTTGTGGACGCTGCAGATCGTGACAAATTAGAAGCAGCTAATACAGAACTTAAAAACCTCTTGGAGAAGCCTCAACTCAATAACATTCCTGTTCTTGTCCTTGGTAACAAGAATGATTTACCTCATGCATTAACTGCTGAACAGTTGATTGAAGAATTGTAAGTAGTGATCAGGCTTATTTTTTTTTAACTTACCTTTATAGACACCTGAAATCGATTACGAATCGGGAAGTGTCTTGCTATTCTATTTCAGCCAAAAACCAAGTTAATATTGATATCACATTACAATGGCTTATTAAGAAAGGAAAAGGACAGAAGTAAACTGTGTTTTCTTTCTTTTCTTATATACCTTATAATCCTTCTTTTATGTTACAATAAAATCCCTTTTCTTCTCTCTCCTTACATCACCCTTTTTTTGTTAATAAGTAGGAGATTCAATGTAGGTTGGTAGTACACTGCATGACTTGGACCAAATTTGTCTAATATGTCAAGGTTCCTGATAAGTTTCATCAGAAGAAATTCTTTATCAACAAGTTATGACCAAAGAACAAGGCGCAGTTTCTATTTGCAGAATAAACCTGATCATACTGCTTCTTTGTATTGACTTCTTTTTAGTTAAAGAAATAGTGTCTCTATAGAAAGCTCTTGTATCACTACTCTATACACACAGACAATTATTTATATATCTATCTACGTCAATATTTTTGGTTCATCAAAAGTCTATGTTATACTATAGTAACATGAACAAAATTATGTAATCCATGTACTAAACCAAACCTTATTTGTTTGATTTTAATGTTCAGAACAATGACATGTTGATTCAAGTTTTGACAGCACTTTTGAGTCTCCGCAATGTATCAGTTTCGAGTAACTTTAAACTTGCTAAGATTTTGACAGTCCTTTAACCGAACTGTAAAGTGCTATTTTCGCTTTCAAGTGTACAACAAAATACTCAAAAAAAGAAATTCGATAAAGCCAATTCTTTTTGTTATTATGTAAACAATCAATAGCAAGATGGCACTAAGAAAGAGTTTTGTCAAAATTATCATGAACAAGAGAGCAATTGAAAGGTTCAATCATTTATTGGTTATCGACATTTCTGGCTCAAGCCCAATAAACTTGCTTCATAACCATGCTATCAATATCTTTGATACTGTCATACTAGTTTTGGCTTATGCCTCTTAATTTAAAGTAGCTCTAATGATCCGAGAATCCTGATCTATTTTCTTGAACAAAGGTAGCTGTACTCTTTTGAGTTTATTCAGTTAAAATCTACTTGATTGACCAATACTCTACATAACATAACTTTGTTTCTTTAAAACAGTAAATTACCGTAAGGCCGTGCAAGGTTTATTCTATATGGGTGAAGGCTATACCCTGCCACCAAGACTAGCTTCCGATGCATTGCAGCCATTACTGCCTGCTGCTGAAATTCCTCTCGACGAATTCTTACATCTCTTCAGTATTGTAGCACGAACAATGCGAACAAATAACATTCACTGTGAGTTGAGTACCAAGAAAAGACCAAACCTCAATGTACTGAAGGCCAAGTCTCTCAAGGGTAGTGTTCTAGAGGTCTCTATGCTGAGATAGACACTTTGGGTAATTTAGAACTACGAGGATCTGCAAACCGATTGGCACATAATAACAACCTGTCATTTATGGGAATAAAGGATACCAAGACTTTGTTGAACAAAGCTTTGATGTCACTACTCAATCTATTAAAGATTCTCTCTCTCTCTCTCTCTCTCTCTCTCTCTCTCTCTCTCTCTCTCTCTCTCTCTCTCTCTCTCTCTCTCTCTCTGGGATTTCATAGCTATTTTTTCAAGACACTCTCTCCTTTTTCAAAGCTAATATCAGTCAATCCAATACTGATTTCATCAACAAGACAACATCCTTCTGCACAAGAAGCAATGCATTGGCTGAACACAACGTGCCATTAGTGGAAAGTAAGTGCCTTATTCCATGTTAAAGAGTAACTGCTAAAATCTTAACAAGTTTAAAGTTTCCGTATTAGTTTCACTTTCTCATATATTCCAAGCAAAGCAAAAATCCAATAAAAAAAAAAGAAACGAGATCAATAAAGTGTACATCTAAGGCACTACGAAAGTACACAAACGCTTTCTTTAGCCAGGAAAGACGTGAACAGTGCGTACACTTGCTTTTCAATGACTGCTTTTTTTTTTGGTACATAAATTGATGAGACTCCAGTTTTTATTTTTTTCTTCTTCTTTGAATCCTTTTCTTTATTTAACCATAGTTTATGATTCAAATAGCATGGCCGCTGAAGAGCAACTGTTTTGGGTACTACAAGAAAATGACATAGAGTAGGTATATTTAATCATCCATAATTCTAAACATAAACTAATACGTATCTTCTTTACAAGTAACGAAGAGCTCTTTTTTCCCTCCGATACACCTATAGGCAAGGTCAATCCTAAACGGCTCTATAGCATCTTGAAAAAGAGATATGCAAGACAAAAACAACGTCTATTGCAACAACAAATAAGCGACTTGCGTCAATTTCATCTCGAATTTCAAAAGAAATACGCTCAAGAATTATCCGCGCCTTCTAGAGTTCAGTCTCATTGCGAAATAATCGAAGGACCCGAGTTCTTGGCAGAAAACAGTGATGCTCTGTCTAACTTTTTGTCGGTTATTGCAACGAGCACTCATGTTGGCAATTGCTTGAATTTGGCTGCATTGGAGCAACCAAAGCAAGAAGAGTTGCCCATCATGGAAAGGCAACATCGAGTACTCAACATGATCCAAGTAAGTCGATGACATGGATGTAAACAGTCAATAACTTTATGACAATGTAGAGAAAATTTAAAGACCAATTTGAAGCACCGAATGATAGACATCAAAGACAATACAAAACATTAGAGAATTATCATAAAGAGGAACTGAATGTCATTCCAATTGAATATCAAGATAAACCAGTATCACCACCTAAAGACGATGAAAATGCAGAAGACGCAGTTGAAGTAACACGAGGAAGAAGAGAACGGTACCTAGACTATAAAAGTAGAGATGATGATCGAGATAAAAGAGCCATGCGATACTGTCCTGATGAACATGTCAGAAAGCGAGTTAGAAGTGATCCACGTTTACCCTATAGTCCTTCAGTCAGCCCACGCTCGTCTGCTGAACCACGTTCGCCTAATCAAGATCCTCGCCGTATGCCAGCAGAAGCTCGAGCCCATCGATTTTCACCTGCAGATCCCTTTTCTTATCAATTGCCATCACGCCCTGATCCGATACCAACAGGTCCTCGAGCGGATCGAAGGATACCACCACAAGAAATACCAACGGGTCCTCGAGCGGATCAAAGGCAATTACCACAAGAAATACCAACAGGACCTCGAGCAGAACAGATACCTTCTGGTCCAAGAAATAATTCATTTGTAGATCCAAGGCCCAATACACGACCACTACCTTATCAGCCAAGACCACAACAAAAGACGAATTTACAACAGAGGATGGATTCACGACAAAGGGTTTCAACGGGCATGGCAGGGCCTCCCTCTATAATAAAAATAGAACCACCTAATGTGATGACAAGTAGTAGCAACAATAGACTCAATACTCCACCTACAATTACAGCAAGTAGTACTAATATCAGACCTAATGCTCCATCTCCCATTGCAGCAAGCAGTAGTAACAATAGACCTAATATTCGACCTGCAGTTGGAACAAGTAGTAGTAACAACAATAGACCTGGTGCTCCACCTACCATTGCATCAAGCAATAGCAATACTAGACCTAATGCACCCCCAGTAATTGGATCCAGTAGCAGTAATAACCATACAAAGCCTTTGTTTAGAGACTCAGGCAAACAGCAGTCGATATATCGCGGGAAAACCAAATTAGTATGTTTGATGGACAAAGGTACACTTCAGATTCGATCCAAACCAGACAGAGTCATTATCACAGGTCCCAATGGCACAGCTGCTTATGGAGATCCCAGAGATTATGACGATGCGATCAATAATGTCAATAACCCTAATAACCCTATACAAAAACGATTTATGTCGGGTGATGTCTATTTATTTCATAAGAGTGATTCAGGCAAAGTAGAAATCATTGGCCCTGTGTACAAAATACAGCCTTTGATCCACAGGTTCTTTTTGTCTAGATAAAAAAAATTAAGCTTTGATTGGATATAAAATATTTTTTTTTTTTTTTTCAATGAGGGGTAATTTCTTTTTTCTTTTATTTATTTATTTATGCTGCCAAAAGAAAAGACAGCGTTAGCAGTAGCTTTAGGCCAGTTATTATCGTTGTGTATCACAGGTACAAGTACAGCTTCTTCTGCTTTATGGACACATTATCATATCAGTATACCTTTTACACAGAACTTTTGCAACTACCTTTTATTGGGATCTGTCTATACCCTCATGGCAACAAAAACTAGATCGCCATCTCAAAGTATATCTTGGGAATGTAAGCTTTGAATTGAATATGGTCTTGCCTTAATTGATACATTAGTCTTTGGATTTTCTTTCGCTGATGTCCATGGTAACCATGTCTTTGTCATGACAACAGTAACTCAACCTATATGTGTTTAGCCAATGCATTGGCTGTATTAGCATTCAAGCGTACTTCGGTTCTTTCGGCACTTGTGCTGTCCTCATGGTCTATTCCATGTATCATGCTGCTTTCTGCTTTTTTTTTAAATGCCAAATATAGCAAAGTACATATTCAAAGCGCTACTGTTTGTTTATTAGGATTAGGTCTTTTGATCTGGGCAGATACAATGGACAATGAAGAATCCACAAGTATAGAGAGAAACTGTTTCTTACTTTTTTATTGACTGTTTTTTGTATAGTGAACCATAGTTGGATTGGAGACATTATCTGTGTAAGAAAAAAGAAACAAAAAAAAAAAAGGACCATGAATGAACACTCTATATGTAGTTGTTTAGTGCAACATTGTACGCAATCAGTAATGTGACTGAAGAGCATTTAGTGCAACATTATACTTCAAATGAATTTCTCGGAAAAACTGGCTGCTGGGGAAGTTTACTATGTGGCATCCAAGTGTAATATACACATATAATCAAAGAAAGTGGCCTAAAAATGATCTATAGGCTTCTGTTTGAATTGGATCATCTCAGGACGATGTCATGGTCATGGCCAGTATGTAAGTATATCTTGATGTTGTACTTGATTCAACTGATATGTGTAATAGTAGGACTCGTACTGATGTATGTCTTGTGCTTGTTTTGCATGTATTCACTTGTACCTACTGTTTATCGAATGGCAGGTGCTGCTTTTCTTAGTATGAGTCTAATCACTAGTAACTTCTATTCCCTTATTGTGGGTCTCTTGTTCTTGAATGCCAAAGTAAGCATGTTTCTCATTTGACGTCAATTAACAGCATTAGATGCCGTCATTTTACCCTATTGCTTATGCATTGGTCATTGCTAGTGTGGCTACCTACAGCTTAGCACCATCTCCTCTATCCGTTGAACACCAACATCCTGACGAAGAAAGTGATCCTATGCTTGACGATAATAGTAAACGATCATTACCGACCTATACCTGATAGACATTCAGAAGCAAATGCGCCTTGAATAAAGATATAATTGAGTGTTATTATACTTTGTCTGAATAAGCTTCATTCAATTAAAAAATAAACAAAGCATGGGTCAATAACAGCTTTTGTCTAGGTCTATTGTTATTTTATGCTATCAACAATCTTCCATTTTTCCTGATGTCTATTATTGTGTTTTCAACAAAAAAACGCATTGTGTCTCTCTGTTCAATGACCTAATGATATGAAAATAAGCACTTTTGTCCCTTTTCTCTCAAGCAAGGTGTGGCTCTGTAGAATTTGCTTGGCAAATGGACGATAAAAGACAGTTGAATGGTTCACGTGGCTTATTGCTTAATTAACCATCATGAATTAACATTCAGCTTATTACAAAACAGGAGAGAGCAAAAGGACATTTTCTTTTGCCATATATATATACCATTATCAACAAGTTACACAGTACAAAAAGAAAAAGAAAAAAGAATTGCCCTGAACGTTATTTTTATTATTTTCTCACTTCTTTTTTATATGTTGATAAAATGGAATATACTTCAACACCTTTAGAACATATAAGATCACCTACATTAGAAGCGCTTTGTCATGACTTGGATATGTTTATTAACGAACTCAGTGTGAATAACCGATCGCAAGAATCCATCTCAAACGACACTACTCAAAAACACAGTAGAGACATAGCCCCACTTGAACTAACCAAACCATTGGTAATCCCTTCATCGTGCTTGTCAATCCACTCATCTTGTTGTTTTAGAGAGACTATGAAGACGACTCAAGCCCTAGCTATTCACCTGTATTAGACAGTTACGCAAGATTAAGTGCCTATGCACCGCCACCTTCAACAACAGCACCATCAATCAACAAGTCTGAAGTCTCCCCAGCCTCATCCACACTTTCTTCTCCGAGAATAAATCATACGCCTCCCATGTCACCTTCATTTTTAAGGGTAGGAAGTCCTAGCAACAATGACTATTTTCGCCAAATGCCTCAGCCTGAAGACTATCTTGTTACGACCAGATCAAGTTCATTAAGCCGTGCTATGTCGTCTTCTTCGGGAAAATCGATTGTACAACGTATACCTCCCTCACCCAACAAACACCAATTCTTTAGTAACCCTACTTCGCCTCTTGCATTCGAGATCACATCAAACCATCAAGACCATCAAGTCGAAATTGAGTTTCCTAATCATGCTTTATTATCTTATATGGCAAGAGAACTTATTCGAGAAGTCGCTCTCTTAAATGAACGTCGACGAATTTATTGTTCTGTGGAATATCCCCTTAGTTTTACAGGGGAAGAAGTGATGGTAAGTCTCGATGTGTGTATACACCAAACCTTGACTGACTGCATCAAAGGACATTGTGCGTGGATTCTCTACACCAGGTTTAGGCGATCCACTTTACTTGGATATCGCACAAACATTGATGTACTGCAAACCCCCTTTGATTACGCCCATTGATTCATCTGAGAAATCGATTCGTAAAAACAAGATTTATGATTCACCAACAGAAACCTATACGCTGGTTGAAAGCTCATTAGACAAACAGATCCATGGTGTCTATACCCCTCTGACTCGCTGTTATTCCATGAGTTGTTTGCCTGGTCAACCAGGTTGTTATTCTGCTTCATGTCCCAACAAAATCTATAGTCTGAATGGCACTATCTTTAAGAAACCAGCCAAATCCATCCTGTCTTCTTCTTCTCATGACACAGTAAGGTACATATACTTGTTACACCATGTTTAACCTTATTCTTAGACACTTTCACGTGCTTGGTCAGCCACTGTATCCAAAGATATTTTGAAATCCATGCCAGAGGATGAAGTCAAGCGACAAGAAGCTATTCATGAAATCATTTATACAGAAGAAGATTATGTGCGTGATTTGAAGATTTTGGATGTGGTAAGCATATGAATATCTGTTTATTATCTCATCATGGGTCTGGCTAGGATTTTGCTCAGGAATTGTTAGCTTCACAATGTATTGAAGAAGGCCGTAAACAAGCCTTTCATGACAAAGTACTCAACAACTACAAGGAAATTCTCGAGATCCATGACGCGCTTTATAAAGAATTACGCGACCATCAAGAAGCTTGTCAGGCCACCAATGGCATTGGTTTAGTAGACAAAGTAGGAGATATCTTTTTACGCCATGTACCTCGTTTTATTGATGCCTATATGCGATATGGTCCACATGTCGTCTTGGCTGAATACGAAGCAAAACTAGAAGCAGAGAACAACATGGTCTTTAAGCACTTTATCAAAGCACGCGAACAATTGGCGCAATGTCGTCGCCTTCCTTTCCGCCACTTTATTATCTTGCCTGTCACGCGTCTACAACGTTATTCGCTCCTGCTGGGTGCTGCACTCAAAAAGACACCCGAAGATAATCCAGATAAAGTGTATTTAGCAGAATGTATTGACCTGATTAAGCATGTAGCCGAGAAAGTGGATGAAGGGACGTCCATCACCAAAAACACACTTCGTATTTATGAAATCAATAGTCGTATACGCTACAAACCGGATGAATATCATGCTCTGGACCTCTTGAAGCCCGGTAGACGGTTGATCAAGGAAGGCACCTTGACACGTAAATCGCATATGGCGGTGGAAACCATTGAACTTCATGTGTTCTTGTTTGATCATCTGTTGTTGTTCACAAAAGCCAAGAAATCAACGACCAAAGAGAACGATGTGGAATATGTGGTTTCGAAAAAGCCTATTCCTATGGAACTCTTGCATTTACAAGAAGCAACAGAAGGGTTCTCGATTGGTTTGCGTAATATGAGCAGTACATATACTTCAACATCCAATCCATTGTCTCCTAATACGATCTCTTCTTCTTCTTCGCCTTTTGGTTCCAGTTATCCTATTTTGGTGCAACATTTGGGTCGACATGGCGCAGATTATTTATTGTATGCTGAAAGTGCTGCTGTTCGTGTGGACTGGAAAGAAAAGATAGTACAGACAAAGGCTAAAAAAGAAGTAGATCAGATTGATAAACGTGTGTTTGAAATCAGATCCTTAAGTGATACTACATTTGCAGGCACCAACAGTCCCTCTTCAGCACATAACCATGGCAAAGTGACCTGTACTGTGCCATTCAGTAAGTAACAGTCTATGTTGATCTTCACTAACATTCAAAAGTGGGTGCGACAGGCATTCGTATGATTGCAGTGGGTACACAACAAGGCATTTGGATGGGAATTGAAGGAGACACCAACACAATCAAGCATGTCTTGACCATTTCGGATGTACAACAGATTGCTGTTCTTGAAGACCATCATATCTTTTTGATTTTAGCAGGTAAGAATAGACAGTTCTCGGCCATCTCTGACATTCATGTTAGATAAAACACTCTATGCTTATGCGTTGGATGCACTTGTGCCTAAAGATGCTTCACGTAAAAACGCTTCTGATAAACCCCACCAAAAGATTGCACAACACATCACTTTCTTCCACTCAGGTGTCTGTAATGGCCGCACAATTGTGATAGCCATGAAGAAGCGTGGTGTAGACAGCCATTTCAAAGTACTTGAGCCTGTCTGTGGTAGTTTGCGTGATCCCAAAAACAGCAAGTTCTTTAACAAGTCTGGTTTGTTTGGTAAACTACCTTCCTGGTTTAAATCGACCATTGAATTCTACATTGGTACTGAATCGTATACCATGCATTTCCTCAAGGCACGCGTGGTGGTTGTCTGTGCCCGTGGATTTGAGATTATCAACCTGGATGCTTTGAACATGAACCGCAACTTGCCTGATGCGACTAACCCTGATTTTGGGTTTGTGCAGCAACGAGGAGGAGACCTAAGACCTTTAGGCATGTTTCGTTGTCGAGAACATTACTTGTTATGTTATGATCAATTTGCGTTTATGGTCAATGTACATGGTGGATTTGTGAAAGATGCACCCTTGATTGAATGGGAAGGTGTGCCTCAATCTGTTACCTTTTATTATCCCTATGTAATTGGGTTTGATGCTCGGTTTGTTGAAGTGAGGAATGTAGAGACAGTAAGTGTGTGGAATCATACCGATATCATGCGTAATTGACCATAACAATAGGGTGAATTGATTCAAATCTTGGCTGGTACACATATGCGCTGTTTACAGTTCATTCATCATAATATTGCACCTGTGATTCATGGTTGTATGGCACATCCATTTAAGCCTGATTTTCAATACATATTTCAACTTGTGGGTACTTTTGAACCACCACTTTAATATTCTATTATTCCTTTATTATTATAAAAAAAAAAAAAAGATTCTGTACTGCCATGACCTCAAGAACAAAAACTCGGTTCCTGATTGGGAATCATATAAACTCCGCTTATAGCTTGCGACTTGCACGTCTTTTTTTTCTTTTTTTTTCTTTTTTTTTTTCAATATGGTGGGTAAAAAAGTATTCCCAAAGCAAAAAGAAGAACGCGGTCAGCACGACATAACAGAAGAAGAAGACACGAATAGTAGGAATAGCATAAAAAAAAGAAAAAGAAAAGATTACATGGAAGATGGTAAATTCCTTCAAACAAAAAAAGATATTCATCATTGTTTAGAAAACAACAAAGATTCACCTCAATCAACCACAGAGTTCTCTGAAATAGACTCAGAAAAGAAAAAGAAAGAAAAGAAATCTAAACAGAAAGCAATACCAAAGAAGAAAGGTAAATATAGACACTGTGTTCTCTTGATGAACAACCATAGCTCCTTTGGATCTCGACAGACAGTGTGGCGTGTTAATACCACCCAATAATCATCCTTGTACTCGATCACTTACTTGTAAGATTCATTCGATGGGAGCAAAAAGAGCAGTGGAAGGACGATCACAGCCATTCAATGATCTACTGGCAGCCTATCAAAAAAAGGGCATAGGAAGACCTCAAGGTAAAAAGATGGCCTTGTGTCTTTAGGATTGACTTGTTTCTTTTTTAGTACCTGGAAATGATCCACTCAAATCAAAATCAATCCCAGACAAAAAGAATATGCATAAATCCGAATCAAAAGAACATGATGATGACGAAGAGGAAGAAGAAGACGAAGTAGATGAAGAAGTGGACTCAGATGCAGAAGCAGAGCATATTCGACTGGCTATCGAGCAAACCAAACCTTTGCCACTCTGTCAAAGACAAGTTTTTTATGTTCGTCGTAAACGAGCTTATTTTAAGTTGAGAGACATTTTATTGGATGCAATCAGACCTAAACATGATCATGAATTACAAGAGCAATTTTTATTCTAACATATATACCAAGAAGGAACCAATCATGATACAAGCATATCAGCCCAGAAAGAAAGAGGCAAATACGCACACACACACACACACACACACACACACACGTGGCTTATCTTTGTCTTACAATAAATGTCATTCAATGCATATCAAATCATGTGACTCTCTGCTCTCTTGAGAAAACCTCATGTGTTACGCTGTTTGTCATACAAAATCGAGATTGAGTCGCACCCCGGATAAGCACTTCTATAAAAGGCAATTTAAAAGCCTATATAAATATACATGAAAAAAAAAAAAGAAGGCTTAAAACTCTCTTTTTCTTTTCTTTTCTTCTTTTCTTATGTCTTTTGTGTAAGCGTATTTTATTGTCTTTTATATATACTCTTTATAACTTTTTTCTTCTTTAAATGAATAGACCACCACTCTATAGTTCACATTCAAAGTAATAAATAAATAAATAAATAAATAAAAAGGAAGCTTACTCATGCCTTGTTAGTGATGCATCAGATACGATGCTTAAATTACCACCTATTTCTGCTATAGATGATTTCTTACCTTCAAGGAGTTGGGCACCACCTTCTCATAGTTTACCTACACCAACTGACCAATGGAAATCGCCACCTTATGACAACAGAGCTGAACTCTCTCGTGATACTCTATTCCTTAGTCAACAAAACCCCCTTGAGCAGAGTTATTTTCATCGCCGTAGTTCTACATCTTCTGTAGAACAAGACATTGAGCAAGTCATTCAACAGTGCAATACACTCTGTCATAGCATGACTCAGCATCAATATCAGTTCATGCATCCACCAGCAACACCATGGTTAGATGACATGATTGGCAGAGCAAATGAAGTGTTAAATGCTCTTTTAAGATTAAGAAAGCGTCAGATAGCAACTGAACAACACCACCAAGTAAAGATAAAATGGAATGACTCTAGTACTCATATGCATATGCAGGAACAACAAGACCATCATCCAAATCGACAGCGTAAACGAGGTGTAAGTGCTTATAGAAAAAGATACGATTGTTTACTCTTGTGATTAGAAACGACCCCCTTTTCAAGGAAGATGCCATTCTTGTCATATCTCAGAAACACCTGAATGGAGAAGAGGACCTGATGGAGCACGTACGCTTTGTAATGCGTGCGGTTTACGTAAGATGATAGTACATCATTGTTCATTCTAAACCTTATCTTAGATTATGCTAAATTGACACGCAAACAACAACAAGATGGTACAATGTTACTTGGCAGACGTAGAAGTAAATTGACACCTCCAGCTGATTGTTAAATATACCCCCCCTCTTGTAATAGGCAGTTTCTTCCTAATTTGTTTATACTAATAAATCTCAGATGTCCAATCATAAGCTCATGTTGACATGTCTAGTTTCCCACCCTCATTATCTATGATCAACGATAAGTGAATTCATTTTGATTGGTTTTATTGATAAGCAATATATATACACACACATTATATGTCCCAACTGATATTGGTCAAATAGAATGTCTTTCTATGATGGTTCTAAGAGAAATAAAGGATACTATATGCTGACAGACGAATATTATCTGATACTATCCAATTCTATTTAAATATTAAAGCTATTTCGAGTGAATCTATAGTTGTTTTTTATCTTTATTATCTTTCTTTGTGCATCTTTGTTTTTCACTTTATTAGTTTTGACAAAGACATTTATTTCTTGCTGGTTATTAACTGTTTAGATAATGAAGTAAAGCAGTACGTTGCTGTGACTCTCGTTTTGCTTGAAGGGCTATTTCTTTTCCAGGGTTCTTTTGTTGCTCTCTTGCACGACGCTGACGTTCAATGGCTTTCTTTTCGATCTCTCGGTATCGGTGAGTGATGGCTTTCTTGGCTGTATCTTGATGACCAATACCCAATCTATCTTGTTTGAGTGTAGTAGCAATAGGATGTCTTTTGCCTTCTTGTTGAGGTCCTAATCCACCTTCATATTTCCATCCTTGCGAGACCATCATTTTAAAGCCAATGTTTTTACCATTCAGTTCAAGCAAATCAGGTGTCTCCACAGTCGTGGGTTTACTCACCATATGTGCTGTACCAGCTAAATGGCGCTGATAATCAGATGTAAGGATATCTAAATCGCAGTCAGGACAATATGTTGTTTGCTCAAGTGGTGTGGGTTTCTGGGTTGTGTTGGTTGAGATGATATTATGGTACAAAGAGGCTATTTGATCACCATCACTTGTCTTTTGTTTCTTCTTCTTATGAGGTGGTTTATTTTCAGCAGCTACAAATTCAATCGGTCGAGCATATTTTGATATCCACTTTTTCTCTGTCATAAAGAAAATGAAAGAAAAAAAAAAAAAAAAAAAAGTACGTTTTGGTGACTGTGTATTTATGCATGTGTGATACAAAATCACTCTATGCATGAATACCCTTTTATATATATATATATATCTTAATCAGGTGAAGATGGTAAGAAGAGAGACAGTGTCTATACGTGCGCATGTATGGCTCAGTCCTAAATGATCTTATGTACCTTGTGGTACAATTGTACGACCCATATGATGAAATCGGTCGGTTCGGATGATATTTAACTATAAATTATTATTTTTTATTCTGTTCATTACTGCTATAAGAAAATACAGAAAAAAAAAGAGAAAGAGAGACATGAAAGAAAAGAGAAACAAACGTAAGACAGCAGTAAAGAAACAAATAACTTGATCCATAGTTAGATCTTTGTCATACAACCTTGTTTCCCGAGCAATCCGAAGTTATTTAGTTTTCGAAAGTATATATCTATTCTAGTTGTCAAAACAGGACAAATATAAAACGCATTACACAAGGTAAAAAATTATCAAGTAACCAAGTGAATTTTTTTTTAAACCTTTTTTTTTTTTTTTTTTTTTGTAAGCACAATATAAACAAATAACTGTGTTTAAGCACACTAAATTCATACGATATTTTTTTTTTCTTTTTTCTTTTCTCTCTCTCTCTCTCTCTCTCTCTCTTTTTTTTTTTTTTTTTTCTTTCTTTTTTCTCCATGACAGGCACATTGCGATGGCATTCATGTTCAACCACTGATTTTCCACTCAAACGACACAAAGTATCAAAAGCATGTGAAGCATGTCGAAATAAAAAAATGCGCTGTGATGGCAGTAAGCGATCCTGCTTTTTATGCCACAAAGACTGATGCTTGTATAGAACATCCTTGCCAACGCTGTGAGAACAATAAGATGGAATGCAAATACAATGACCGACCTATTCGATCACGTACACTCAAACCATTGTGTATCGAAACCAACTTGGATAAAATCACATTGACAAACGAAATACATGAAACATTTCGACTTTCTCGACCACACCATGGCACTTGTCTTTCACCTCTTTTATTTGATTTCTTTCATTTGACTTCACAGCCTGCACATATTTGGCGTTTGTGGACAGAATACCATCAAAACCTTCGTGCTTCTGCTTCCAGTATAGAATGGATGATGTCAAAAAACCAACTTGTGAAAGAAGCGTTCAAATTATTCGTTACACATAACCTTCTTTATGGCACCTTGATTCATTCTCAGATGTTGGCCTTTGTCCTTCAATCGGATTCAGTTTATGCCTATTTACCTTCAAGACCGCAACATCATTCATTGATCTCACCACGGCCTTCATTAACGCATCCTCCCTCAAATGATTATGATGCTGTGGTGATCTATAGTGTATTGGCACTCGTTTTTTCTTCTTTGCCTGAAGAACATGAAAATCTGATGGAAGACGCTATGACTTTGTATAAGAAAGCACACGCCTTGTTTATCCAACTCTGTTTTCCTGCTACATTTTCGGATCCTGCAGCCACTGTACCTAACCAAAAAGAGATAGAATGGATGGTGCTGGCCTCTATTTTGTTGGCTCATTTTCAATGCGCCGTCATCCATCCAGAGCAAGCCTACCTGACCATTCGACTAGGACAAACATTAGTTCAACAATCAGCTTTCACACTGAAGGACGATCTGCTTCGGATCATGGATGCATGGTACATTTGGCTTACATTCTACCTCAATAAACCTTATTCTCCAAACGAACTCTTGAGCCAACAACAGCCAAAGGAAGACAAGACAAAAAAGACAAAAGAACAACAATGGGCTATTTGTGTCACCGAAAATTACAGCCAATTTCTAAAATCCCTTTTAACAAAACAACATACAAACATACAAACGATCAAGGCAAGTCCAATGTATGACAAAATAAGCATCTTATTCTCTTTGTATTTAGGAGTCGCTTGCTTCTCTGTCGAATGCATCTCAACCGCAGTTCTCGTTTGAATGTATGCGATACAACAAAAACCCTTGTCAAATCATCTCTGTCTATCATCACGTATTAACCGTACAAATCTTGACGCGCTCCCTTGATCTTTCAGTACCCTTGTCTGATGAAACAAAAGCGGCCGTTGACACATGTACACAGTCATTGCAACAGATGCTCAAGATGATAGCTCAAGTCATCACGTATTGTTCAAACAATCAAATCATTGGATTACCATTCACTATCACCTATGCAGTTTGCTCTATAGCTAAATTTGTGATTTTGTGTTTAGGCCATAAAGAGCTAGAACAAGTCCATAAGCTTCATACACGTCTAACACAACTCCTTAAATCCACTTATGTGGATACTTTTGATACCGTATTAGACCAACTTAACCATCCCACCCGTACAATCAAAAAAAGAAACAGGCAACCAAAGACTGCTCAAATGCCTCTCTCGCCTTCTTCTTCTTCTTCCTCTGACCTTACTGCTACCATTCAAAAAAACAATAAGTTGTGTGACGCAGCAGACATGATCATTCCACACACTGAAACGTCTGGCGCCATGTCACAATTCCTATCACAGCCTACAATACCAAACGAGTTATTGGTGGCAGACAACATGAGAACATTCGACCCTATGGCACCCACCAACATTCATTCCAGAGCAGACATCGACCGAGAACAGCTAGAGAAACTATCGCATAAACCCAATCGTACATATGAAGACATGCTATTACAACAAAAGCCAATGGCTTCCTTTGATGTGACGAATAACCAGCAAGATATGTTCTCTAGATACGTATCACCTACCACCACATTCGCCATGCATACGCATAAAAAAAGTCATCCGTATCATCCTCTTTTACAGCAACATGATATGGTCCATTATTACTACAGTCAACACAAGCGTCCCTATCACTCAATGGAATACGTGCCGCCCTATAAGAAATCCAAGTCAAACGCATCTCAACATGAGACGTCTTACATGCATCAAGACTTGGTATCTTCACCGCAGCAACAACGATCTCGTCAAAGTAGCATGACAGGCCCTTTTGTCGATGTGAATGAACTTGCTTCTGAATCCCAATCGACCAACGATGCTGCCTTGATGTACTGGGTCTTGGATGGAAGTGAAGAAGCTGCATTTTATCAAGTGGGAACACCCCCAAATAATGACGATAAACAACAGCCAAGTCCTGCTCATCCGACTGAATTCAATCCTTCAGTGAGCTTGAGTACATGGCCTGCTGCGATGGAAGCTGAGAATGGCACAGTAACAAAACTTCCTTTACCTCAGCCTTCAAAACCTACCAGCATGCCACTCAAGAATTGGTCTGCGCCTACACAGACACGCACTTGGTCCAAGTTTTTTTTTGCGTCTGAAATGCAAACATTGCATTATCAAACACCTCCTTTGATTCATTTTAATGAGCCTTCTTCTTCACTTTCTATGGGACTAAATATGATGCCAGAAGAAGAAGAAGAGACGAAAGAAGGAGGTCTTTTTTATCCTTACCACAAGGGAATAAAGAATACAAAAGAAATGGTGATGATGCCTTCGCAACAACAAGAGCAATCGGATACAAGTCAAGTTGCCTCTAAAGCAGCAGCGGCGGCAGCAGCAGCAGCTATTTGGGCAGCAGCAACAGCAGATACAAACAAACCCGAAAAAAGAAAAAAACCATACAAGATCAATTAAAAGAAACCGATCAGTGGATGCCACCTGATAAAGTAGGAGGTGATGAAAATTATATTTTATAGAGACATGGAATAGAAAGAATAAATTGAAGAGTATTATTACTCTCATTGTTACCAGGGATGGTCTCGACTTTCTCTCCCAAATTGAAACACTTGTTTGTACAATGATCTTCATAAAACTTTTTTTTTTTTGGGTATTCAATCGTAACCCTATCTGATAAATTTGCGCAACTTTACGAACAGGCCCACATCTTTTTCATGGACTAAATCAAATAGCCGGGTGAAAGTATGACAAGTCAGATTTTATCCGGTTTCCGAGATAAGCAATAATGCGTTACAGAATTGACAAATAAAGTTGATGAAACACAAATTCAAACAAACGTATACAATGACCCTTTTTTTTTTTTTTAGGACAAGACCTTTCAGAAAGTAATGTCTTTTTTCTTTTTGACATGATATAGTGCAGATAATATGTGGCCATATATATATATATATATATGTATATATAGACATATGTATTCTCTAATAAAGCCTTTATCGGTTGGCGTTGATTGTCTTTCTAAAAGTCATTGTCTTTGTTTTGAAAATAATAAATAATCATGTTGAATAGCATTGGACAAAAAAAAAAAAAATAAAACGGAGGCTTAATCTCAAGGTGCGATATGCAGAGTGTTTCACAAAGCGGACCAGTCTGAATCTCAAGTAAAATAGAGAATAAGGCATTTTCCAAATTTCTTCATCTTTTTTTCCTGTATATTTTTTTTTTTTATATCTTCTCCACCATGCTTAATAAGTGTTGTTTCTGTATAAACCTTAGGTAAAATAAACTACATATATATATATATATATAAAAGAGATATACTTATGTTAAATAGAACTGCCACTTTAGCCTTGGCAATCTTGGGTACACTTACACACCTTTACGGTGCCATGACTTTAACTGCTTTGTCTGATGAATTTGATGATGCTGATACTGGTGCTGTACTTGGTTTGACTGCTTACTCTTATCTCTCCGGTTTTGCTTGTCTGGCTGGTGCCATTGGTGTATTAAAGGTAAAAGAAAACGCAACTTGCGCAGTCGAAAATAACTCATACTTTTTTTCCATAGAATAACCTCAAACAACTTCGCTTTTTCACTGCTTACTATTGGGCTGACTTGGGTTTGCACACAATTTTCTCAGTTGCAAGCGCAGTATTACTCTTTAGTCTTCACACCGAAATTTGCCAAGAAATCGTAAGCGAAGCTAAAGACGATGAACTCGATATGAACACTTGCGAAATGCTTTATATTCGTAGTTCATGGTTTGTCACGATTGCCATGGCTATCAATATGCTGATGAAGCTTCATTTTGCTTTTGCTGTTCATTCTTACACGAAACAAGTCAAACAACAACAACAACAATTTGAAGATGATGAAGCAACTGTTGTTGTTCCTCCTTATCCTGCTGCTGAAGCTATGGATATCAAGAAAGAGGCCATTTATGTTGCTGGTCAAGAATTCATTCCTGATGAAAAGAAGCAATAATAACAACAACAATAACAATAAGCATCTGCATTGATATACTAGCATTTCTTTACATCTATTCAATAAATTACCTTTCTCAATGTATTTTTAGAAGCCAATGTCATATGAGAAATGTCGATATCGACAATTAAGGCAGGTGCGCCCAGCTCTATTCAAGCTAGAAGATGCCGTCATACTTTGGACTATTTTTTGGTCTAGTCTAGTTTATCGCCAAAGTTAAGAAAAGCTCAGTCCTTCTTTGAGAAATAAACGATGTTTTGGAGCTCGATTGGACAAAATTATGTAAAGTCAGTAAATATCTAAAAGTCATTTCTCTTCAAGTGCACATTGTTCATGAATGTAGTCACTCGCTCCTCACTTCCAATGGTTCTCATTCTTACTTTCTTTCTTAAGAACAATCATTTGTTGCATCGTTTGTTCAATACATGCATGTCAAAAAAAAAAAAAAAAAAGAGAGAGAGAGAGAGAGAGAGAGAGAGAGAGAGAGAGAGAGAGAGAGAGAGAGAGAGAGAGAGAGAGAGAGAGAGAGAGAGAGAGAGAGAGAGAGAGAGAGAGAGAGAGAGAGAGAGAGAGAGAGAGAGAGAGAGAGAGAGAGAGGGAAAGGCCTGTGCTTATTTGTAAGGCTGTAGAACAATTGAAGGCAAAATTGCATAAGCAGTAAATCACATTGTATTCATCCGCAAAAAGAAATGAATATATGCTGCGTTTTAAATTGTGACTGTTATTGACTCAAAGAGCTGACGTAGACATGTTTTTTTTCTCCTTTATTTTTTTTTTTCTTATTTCTCATCTTTTCTTCTTCCATCTTTACTTTTTTTTTTTTCTATTATTATTTTCAGTTCATCAAGATGAGTGAAATTGACAATACAGGTAAGTAAAGCGTCTGAAGGCCAAGTGCAGAGGCACTGATAGACTCTTTAGTTGACCAGCGCGTTTCAGATGAAAGAGGACGTCGCTCTCGCAGTCGTTCTCGCTCTCGCTCTCCAGGACGCGATCACAGCGACCATCGATACAGAAGTCGTTCTCGCTCAAGAGAACCAATGTAAGCACCACACTACAGCATCATTTTTTTATTATTTTATTATTATCAACTTGCAGCCTAATACACAAACACACAATTTACACACTATTCCAATCCATTCTATAGTCGCGATGATGAAGATATCAACCCAGGAGACAACTTGTTCATTACCGGCCTCTCCATTAGAACCAATAGTGCTGATTTAGAAGACTTGTTTACTAAGTATGGCAAGGTAAGCATCACACGCGTCTTTTCTCCTTTTTCTAAAAAAAAATGCATTTTAGGTTCACAAAGCTGAAATCATGTATGACCCTCATACACGTGAATCTCGCGGTTTTGGTTTTATTCGTATGGCCAATCCTGAAGATGCCGATAGAGCCATCACTGGCATTACTGGCACTGAAGTTGATGGCCGTGTTGTTACAGTTGAAAAGGTATGTGACTTGTTTATAGAACAAGAGCGCGTTTTCTGTTTTTATTGATACTGTTGATAGGCCAAACGATCTAGACCTAGAACACCTACTCCTGGTCGCTACTATGGCCCCCCTAAGCGTGGAGGACGTAAGTTACAATTATAACTGAAATGCATCATAACTTACATTTCGTGAATAGCCAGAGATAGAAGGGACCATAGACCTCCCCGTGGTGATCCTAGATATGATCGTTACTATGAGAGATCTTACATTGATCGCTATGATCCTCCTAGATATGACCGTTATGAAAGAGATCGCTATGATCGTTATGACCGCTATGACCGTTATGACCGTTATGATCGCTATCATGACCGTTATGAACGTCGTCCTCCACCACCCAGATATGATCCTTACCCTCCCCGTACTCGTTCACCTTATTAGGCCTATATATACATTTTATTTGCTACATAAAAAATATATATATATATATATATACAGTTTTTGTCTATCAAAAAAAAAAAAAAAAAAAAAAAAGAGTCATAAATAGTGTAACAAGGGGCTTCTTTCTCTTCTTTTTATATATACATATATATGTCTACATACAAAGTCAATCCGCATAGACCTTATTATTCGCCAGGATTACAACCTCATCGCAATTATACGTCGTTACCTTCTCAAGATGCTACGCCATTAGTACTTGAAGAACATGACCATGCACTTAAAGGCTGGACTGGAAGAACAACAAGTTTTGCACTATATAAATATTTCATAACTATGCTGACAAGCCCCTTTGAGGTGGGCACAACCCTACTTCAAGTCCAATATTCCCCTCACCAAGACGTTGAGGTGGTTGGGCTACAATCGATTGAATCAAGCAGCAGTAGTACACAGCTTTCTTCTGTGAGTGATCAGGCATTTTTTTTGGGGGAGTTACTAACCAATCCATAGATGCATCCCATAGATGCTGATTCAGAGACAGACGATGAAGAAGGGTTCTTTAGGCGTCCTGCTTCTCTAGATATCAATCGTTTTAGGCCTGACAGCAGTAGCTTACTCTCGACTGTGAGTGTCTATGATGATAAGAATCGACCTATGCATCAAATGCCGCCTATGGAAGGAGGTGGTGTATTAGAAATTCTGAATTCAATCATCAAACAACCTACAGAAGGCTGGCGATCTTTATTCAAAGGTAAGTCAATACACAGCATGTAGAGTAAAACTGATCAAACTATTAGGTCAGCGTGTTACTTGGGTGTATGAAATGCTTCGTGCAGTGCTTTTACCTGCACTTGAGAGTAGTTTAAATGACATATTTGGTCTATACGATGATACGATTCCACTCTTACACTTAGATAATGTCACTCCTAACATTGCTACCATGATTGTATCCCATGTAGCAGTAGGTGTTCTTCTTAGTCCATTAGAGATTATTCGTACACGTCTTGTGGTTCAATCTGCCTCACCCCTCTGTAGAAAATACCAAGGTCCATTCCATGCACTTCGTTTGATGATATCAGAAGAAGGCGGTCTGAGTAGCATTTACCTCAGTAAAAACTTGATTCCTACCATCTTTTATCATACCATTACACCGCTTTTAGCATGTAGTACACCTTTATTGATCACTCGCTTGTTACATATTACAGCGGCTGATTCACCTATTCTTTATGGTGCTGCAGAACTTGTCTTAAGCACCTGTGGACTATTGCTCATGTTACCTTTAGAAACCATTCGTAAGCGTCTGCATTGCCAAGTACAAGGAGAATTCAAGTCTACAGTGGCATTAAGACCTCAACCTTATCGTGGTGTATTGGATGCATTATACAAGATCATGAAAGAAGAAGGCACAAAAGAAAAGAAGCGAGAAACAACAAAACAGACCAAAAAAGCATGGACATCCAGTGATGAAGATAGTGATTCGGACTTATTTCCTGCTCATCGAAAAGAAAAGACTTCAAGTGCCTGGGGAATTCGTGGTTTGTACAGAGGATTCAGTATGCAATTGGCTGCTCACGTAATGGGGTTTGTATTTCATACAGTAAATGGACTTGAAGGTAAAGTGGATCATTCCTTTGTATGATTTACTTATTGTTTTTATTATAGATGGTTTTATGTGAATATAAATAAAAATTGCATAAATTAGCTCTTTTTTCTCTCTTTTTTTTTTCTTTCTTTCTTTCTTTCTTTCTTTATGAGATCTATTCTAGCGTTATCTTCAATCCCTCTTTTGATAGTAGCAACTGTTGCTCATGCAAATAACAATCAACATGTCCTTTCTCAAGAAACAACACCTATCACAAAGTCTATTGCAATTATAGGTATGTGTTTTATTGTATACGTGTTGTTTACTTTTGAGAAAGGTGGAGGTGCTTCAGGTACATCCACTGCTTTCTGGTTAAGCAACGTGTTCCCTGAGAAGGGTCCTGTTCGAGTATCGACAACATTATTTGAGCGCAATAGTTACTTGGGTGGGCGCAGTACCACAGTGCCTATTAAGGACGATGCAGGTTTGTTTGGTTCCCTGGAACTCGGGGCTTCTATCTTTGTCGAGGCCAATAAGAACCTGATGAAAGCAACGGATGTTTTTGGGTTAAAAAGAACCACCTTGACAGCACAAGAAGAGACCATGCGAGCCAAAACTAATCGACCTGGACTAGGTGTCTGGAACGGTAAGGAGTTCTTGTTTGAAGAGACAGGAAGTTATTGGGATAGCATGAAAGCACTTTGGCGATATGGGTTCTCTCCTATCAAGGTAAGTTCCCTGTCTTTTAATATGATATACAAAAAAAAAAAAAAAAAATGATATGTCTAGTTTCAAAAAAAGCAAAAACAAGTAGTTGAACGGTTTATGGAGTTCTATGGTGCTTCAAATCATGGATTTGAGCATGTGTCTGATATTGTTGAAAAGCTTGATTATCAGACACTATTGAACATGACTGCAAGCGATTATCTGAAAGAGTTGGGCATTCAGGATCGTTTCTCGCAAGAGATCTTACAGTCAGCTACACGCGGTAATTATTGCCAGGATTTGAACGCACTTCATGCACTGGCCGTGATGGTAAACTAGACGATTTGAACTCATGGGTGTATGAACTCAGTTTGACTTTTAGGTCTCTATGGAAGCAGGACATGGTACTTGGGCTGTAGAAGAAGGCAATTTTCGTATTTTTGAAGAATTTGCTTATCGCTCTAAAGCTGATATTCGTCTCAACACAAAAGTCACTGCTGTCCATAACATCACCGAACTTGATGAGCAGGGTCAAGCCATACAACGCTTTATGGTAGAGGCAGAAGATGGATCAACTCAAGTCTTTGATGATGTGGTCATGGCTGCACCCTTAAAATTCTCGGGTATCGAGTTCTCTTGTCCTACAAAACACCAGCACAGAGATTATCATGTTGTCCATGTTACTTTGGTGGCAGGCCATCCTAACCCAGCTTATTTTGGTAGAACATTAGACACAATGCCTACCTTTGTAGTCACTACAGGCGAACCATTAGTGGACCAATTTGAGAATGGACAAGCACCTTTTAATACATTTTCAGTACATCGATTCTTGGAGAATGGGGAGAGTGTCATCAAAATCTTTTCTCCTCAACAAGCAACAGATGAATTCTTGGATACTTTGTTCCTAAACAAAAGCTGGACGTATCGCAAAGGATGGCATGCATTTCCTAAACTGTATCCTGTGGATGTGTTTCCTTCATTTATACTTAAAGCAGACGAATCTGAAGATTCGGGCATTATCTATGCTGGTGCATTTGAAAACTTTATTTCGGCAAGTATTCTATACAAATCAAGAAAAGTAAAACTTATCTATAATAGACAATGGAGACACAAACAATAGCAGGAAAGAATGCAGCCAGACTATTGTATGAAAAATGGTGTTTAAACAAACCATGTCAACCTTTTGGTGATGGCTGGGGTAGTTATTGAGGATTAACTAAATAAACATCAGACATGTTTTCCAATTCAATGTTTCTTCTAGGCATGTTCTTGCCAAAGAATGTATGGATAAGCCTCCATTCTCTTTCTGATGCAGGCATGGTATGATCTTTGTTGGAAATAAAGATGTGGGACACTTCTGCAGAGGAAGCACATTGTCTTTGCACTGCTTTAAACTATGGAACCATAAGTTGATATTTCCCTTTTTGTGATTCCTTACTCTTTTTTCAGCTTCTAATTTACTGCCAATCGTCTTATCTTTTTCGCCTTGTGTGATCAGAATGTATCCTGCATACCCATCACCAATTGTTTGATCCACGCGTTGTTCTTCGAGTAAATATCCACTGATACTTACTACACCACCTAAATTTCGGATTTTACCAAAAGCAATAGAATCCAAGGCAACCGTACCACCTTGAGAGAAACCGAAAAAGAAAATATTGGGTGGTTGGAATCCACAATCATGAACCAAATGATGCAATAGTTCATCGAGTAATTGCCGTGTACGTATCAAGCCCTTTAAACGTTCAGGATTAGCAGGTGTCAGTACTACATATAACGTTAGAGAAAAAAAAAAGGGAAGTTGGACATACTTACAATCGCCTGTCAAGAAATCAAAACTAGGAAACCACTGAAAGCAACCGTCTAAATAAGGCACTGGCTCAGGCGCTTGAACAGAAAGGGTAGCTGTTTGTGGCAGTTTGAGTTGTTGGCCAAGGCGTTCAAAAGGTGTCTTTGAGTCCCCTTTTTTTTTTTAATTTGATAAGTCAAACTAGCTTGTCATGTTGTACTTTACCTAATCCATGAAGCAAGATCAAAAGATTAAAGTCAATACCATCGGGACTAGGTGTATAATCAAATTCAAGTTTTGTCTTTTTAGGATTAGGTGGTGTGGCTTTGTTATTTTTAGAGAATGAAGGTGTCTGAACGTTGATCGATTGCATCTTATATTCAATACAAGAGAAAGACCGAACAAAATTATCAGTCATACTTAAGGAGAAGAATTAAAGAAGCGAAGTGACAGGTTTGTTTGGCCTGATGCATAACAAGGCAATGTTTTGTTGGCATATTACATTGGAAGACACGATAGTATTTTTAATATATATATCCAATAGTGCTTTTTCTCTTGACTCTGAAGATCTCATTGAAACTAATACCGAGTGGACATTTCTTACATCGGTGTAAGAAAAACGCTGTTGATTATGATCCTATGTGAAGGCAGAATGACTGAGACTTGGTCAAAGTGACATTCGCAGAGTAATAACTTCTAAAGATTGCTTTCAGAAGACATGCGTGATAGAGTAGACAGGAGCGGTATAAACCACAAGTCAGAGACAGGCACCAAAATCATGAGAAAGTATAAAGAAACGGCTGAGAGATACATGTAGAAGTATGAATGCTAGATCAGACCAGTTTAGCCCCTGCATAGCATGTTTTGCATTCAGTTCAATCTTGTGGAGTTTTGTAATGCTTGTATTAGTGATTCTTTCAAGCGGCAATGACCAAGAGATCAAAATGATGGCAAGTTTTGTGCGGCAGCCATCTTCGAAGAGTCAGAGAGCGAGTCGCACATGTTCGAAGAGTGCGACGCCATCACGTGGCATCATTGTAGCATTAGTAGATATATATATTGTGCTGATTCTCTCTTTATCAAGGGAGAGATGGCCGAGTTGGTCTAAGGCGTCACGTTAAGGTCGTGATCTCTTCGGAGGCGTGGGTTCAAATCCCACTCTCTTCACTTGCTTTTTGATTCTCTACAAGCTCCTCTTTACTTTTGTCTTCTTCTCCCTCCTCCTTTCTGTTCTTGACCTTTGGGAAATTGCAAAGCCAAACGGATTTGTTTTTTATCGCTGCACTCAAAGAAAAAAATTGTTGTTAGAAAACAAGGTTTGATTTTAATACCAGTAACGTGTAGAAGAGTTTATACAATAGAATCCAAAGCAAAGGAACGATTGTATGTAATGAGCACCACGTTGTTGAGGTAACGAACCTTTAAGTAAATGATTTAAAGCAAAAGATAAAATAAAAAGTTCAAATAGAAGTGATACAGTAAAAGACCTTCCTATGTCTATATCACGGAAGTCAAATAGACAAAAATAAGTGACCCAATCGGTCAAAGTAAAAGTAAAGTAAAGCGAGAATATTTCTTCTAATCTTTGTTAAATAATCATTTGAACGGTTTATATACTCGTTCATTGAGAAAATGATCTCTAGTTCTAAAGTAAAAAGATGAGAGTCATAAAGAACTCGTTAAGATAAAGCAATTCGATTTGTAACAAAGTAAAACTAATTGAGTTGTAAGACCATTCTAACCAGTAAAAGTATCATGCATGAAAATGATTATGTCAAAAAGTAGAATGATAAAGCAATATAGAAGAGAAAAGACAAACACAAGAAAAAGACTATATTGGACGGAAGCGACTAGAATGTAACAAAATGAAAAGAATAGCTTTTTGACCAAGCGTAAGTTCTTCTGCACATAAGCACAATGGTTATTTGTCTGCTGCAATCCGTCTGATGATGTTTCTTTTCTTATTGCCATGAATAATACTCAAAAAGTTTGGCTAAATTGTGTTTTTTCTTTATTTAAATCTATAACAGACGCTATTCCTAGACAAAATGAATGGTATTAAACTAAATATCAATACTGCATGTGTCATATTGCAGCTTGTTATATATTTCGATTACAAATAAAATAGTTTGACATCTCTTTAATGCGTTGAATTATTAAAAAGGAAAAGGTATATTGTACTTGGATTGGGCATGCTTAATGGGCTAGGACTTGGTTAGGTACAGTAACTTGACTATCCACTTTGGCCATGTCTGTAATTTGTTTTCGCGGACGAATGTTTAACAGGTTTTGATCTTCAATACTAACAAACTCGTCATATTGTTTATGTGTTAAAAATTCTCTCCAAAGATCCTTAGCTGATTTCCCTCTCTTTTCATTCTCGTCTTTTGTTTTTTCTGATGGCGCCATGTTTCCGTATTCAGCCAGGCTGACAACAGGTAGTGGAGCATAAAAGTTGTATTTTGCTGCAATGATCAAAATCCAATGAATCTAATCGTTAAACTCAACAAAAGAATTACCTTAACAATCAATAGCAACTTACGTAGACTACGAACATACAAATTAAACATAGTAGTGACCATTTTGCTTCGTTTTCGAATAATCTTTCACAATTGTACATGTCTCTTGAACCTAGTGCTCCTGCAATGGTACTGTTGCTCGTGATTGAAACAGTGTCTAGATAATAGCTTGCAGAGCTTCCAATACACCATTCATTAATGAATTTGTCTTTGGCTATCACAAACAAGACAAAATTAACCAATGTGACAGCCAAGACGCCCAATGCACACGCAGTAATTGCAAACACTGTATTTCTTGATCGAGTCATGTTATAAAGCATACCAGGGTCCAATTGCATTCTTCTTATCATACCCATCTACTTTCATGAATAAGCCGTGTAACCTTTCTTTTTTGTCAATCAAAACAATTACCCTGATTAAGAAGATGGCTATACTACAAAGAGAGACAATCCCGAATAACAAGTTGACTGCTCCAAACACGACCAATGGCACATCTTGAACATACGAGTAAAATGCTATGACATTACAAGTAAGCAAATAGCTTTAAATATGTGACACATACGACTCTTTTGCATGAATGCTAGAACAGCGAAATAAAAGCTAATAAGCTATAAAGTAAAGTATTAATCAAAGATAGTCATGTCTATATGTCCTTACAGCCCACAAAAAGCAAATCAAGATCGAGTTAGATTCCGTATAAATACACCCACAGCAATAGGCTCTTAATCTACTAGATCTATTATAATGATCTACATTGCTCTGTATACGAATCCTTTCTTGTTCTATAGGATAGTTCATAACGACAAAGAGAAAAGAAAAAGAAAAGGTGTTTATGTAAAAATCTACACAACAAGCGAAAACTTTTTATAAAAGGCAAGTGTAACGCATAAATGACTAAATTAAGAAAAGGTATTTTGTACATGTTGACGAATAGTGTCGAGTGGGTTTTGCTTAAAGGCTCCATGTTGCATTACTTTTTGCATACGAAGCATTTCTTGAAGTCTATTAAACAATTAACAATGTATCAATACTGTCAATAACTTACTCTGCTTGTTTCTTTGCTTTCTTTGACTTGATCTTGTTAGAAGGAATAGCAGGTTGCTTGTTCTCTAGTTTCTTTTCATGCGTTGCTTGACTGGCAAATTCTGATTTGGGTTTGACTTGAATGTCATTCAAGATGTCACCAATACCGCCTAGATCAACATTCAAGTTGGTCTTTTTGTCTTGCTTCTTTTGCATCTTCTTTTTTGCAACATAAGATCGATCGAGTTCTATTGAAAACACTGAATATGCATGCACTTGACATGGCTTACTTACTCTGAAGCCATTCTTCATGTCTCTTTTTCTTTTTTTCGTCTTTTTTAAGTGTCTCTTGAGCATGAGCAGGGACAGTCTAAACAATGAGTAAAGTAGATCGATCTATCAAACTATTTATTACCGAAATTTGTTCTTCTTCAGTGACGATACGTTCAAGAACTTGTTTCTCAGAGACTGCAAACTTTCTTTGACGTAAAGGTGTGTCTGCCTTCTTTAGGCTTCTTGATCTCGTTGCTTTAGGCATAGCCAAATAAAAGAAAAATAAAAAATAAAAAAAAAATATGTGTGACTTTACACAGCCTCTTTTCTTTCACACAAAAATGTTTAAAACTAACACTGCGCCTTCTGAGCAGCAATATGCACAACCTCCTCCTGCCTATGAAGCAGAAACTAGTAGACCTTTCTTAGCTCAAGACGAGGAAGATATGCTTGGGACTGGTGATGATATGTTTAAAGATACTGTAGCTAATAGTAGCGTTGAAGTTCGAATGCGTAAGTAGATCATCTTGTAATTATTTGCCTAACCTCCTTTTAAGAATTTGTTCGCAAGGTTTATTCTATCTTGACTGTTCAGATACTAGGAACAACGATTGTTTCAAGCATATACATGTTTAATGAAGGTATAAAACAATGGGTTCAAACAAAGTAAGGTTATTTGCATGAATTCTCTATCTTACTCTCTTTTAGTCCTTGGATGATATTCTTGTCTTTGTTTTGCTCTCTTGGTGTTCTTTTCGCCCTGATGTGGAAGTCTCGTTCGACTCCATTGAACTATTACTTGCTTGCGTTGTTTACATTGTCAGAAAGTCATCTTGTAGGCACAATTACTTCTTTCTATGACAAAATGATTGTATTGGAAGCATTAATTATTACTCTTGGCGTCTTCTTTGGATTAACTTTATTCACTCTTCAGTCCAAGTGGGATTTTAGTGGGATGGGGCCAATGTAAGTAAACTATGCTATAGAAACAGAGCTCATTCTGTTTTTATAGGCTTCTTGTCGGTATCTGGACAATCTTTGTTGGTGGTATGTTACTGCCATTTTTCCCTGGCATGGATGTGCCACTTGCTATAGGAGGCGCCATCATCTTTTCTGGATATATCGTTTTTGACACCTATTTGATATTTAATCGCTATTCTCCTGAAGACTATATTATGGCTTCTACAAGTTTATACCTTGACATGATTAACTTATTTCTTCGTATTCTTCAAATCTTGAATGCAAGTCAAAGAGACTAAGTTAATAAATTTTCGCGAAAATTTATTGCATATAACAATGAATATGTTCTTTGGTGATTTGTCTACCATACACTTCAATTTCATTGTTGAAATATTTTTAGAAAGAAAAGCTCAAGAACAGAAAGGAGGAGGGAGAAGAAGACAAAAGTAAAGAGGAGCTTGTAGAGAATCAAAAAGCAAGTGAAGAGAGTGGGATTTGAACCCACGCCTCCGAAGAGATCACGACCTTAACGTGACGCCTTAGACCAACTCGGCCATCTCTCCCTTGATAAAGAGAGAATCAGCACAATATATATATCTACTAATGCTACAATGATGCCACGTGATGGCGTCGCACTCTTCGAACATGTGCGACTCGCTCTCTGACTCTTCGAAGATGGCTGCCGCACAAAACTTGCCATCATTTTGATCTCTTGGTCATTGCCGCTTGAAAGAATCACTAATACAAGCATTACAAAACTCCACAAGATTGAACTGAATGCAAAACATGCTATGCAGGGGCTAAACTGGTCTGATCTAGCATTCATACTTCTACATGTATCTCTCAGCCGTTTCTTTATACTTTCTCATGATTTTGGTGCCTGTCTCTGACTTGTGGTTTATACCGCTCCTGTCTACTCTATCACGCATGTCTTCTGAAAGCAATCTTTAGAAGTTATTACTCTGCGAATGTCACTTTGACCAAGTCTCAGTCATTCTGCCTTCACATAGGATCATAATCAACAGCGTTTTTCTTACACCGATGTAAGAAATGTCCACTCGGTGTTAGCGTTCTTATACACTTAATGTATGTCATGGCTCTTCCCAATTCTCAACACTTTCAGTTGGTTGCGGGGATTAAAGAAACTTCAAACCTAAAAGCCACCCAACAACTAAGATCATATGCTAGTGTAGTAGCTAGAACTCGAGTATCACTCATGCACCAAGGCATCGTTGAACCTGACAAAGATGCAGACTCACATTTGCGAGAATTTCAGTCAAGAATGTATCGAGTAGCTAGCCATGAGGATGCTTTCTTACTCGACATTACTCCAGTTAAGAAAGAATACACTGATCTCCAGTGTATGCAGGAAATCAGCGCTCAACACTTGTGATGATCTGACATTAAATAAGTCTTCATTTACATACTAAAATATATCATAATCAATTTACATCAGAAATAGGCATAAAAGAACCTCTTGTACTAAATAAGACAAAGTATCTTTTAATAGATCAAGACTTATAGCCGAAATCCATAATTTACATTATTTAATTAATTTAAAGTAGTCTATGATAATAGAGACTCAGTCATTTGCATGAACTCTACTACTACTTACTCCGACATCTCTTCATGTATAAATATGCTAGAATAATTTATAGTCAAAAAGAAAAACAATAAAATTGTATGAAACAGTCTCCAAGCATCTACCTTGGTCTCTACATTATCTTATCATATAACTCTCTATTATCAAAACATCACACGTCGAACATTCTTTAGCAATCTAACCCAAATGCTCCATGATTTTCGATCAGTTATCTCTTTTGACAAATTGATTATTTCAGGAAATTTTAATTACTCAGTCTTCAGCCGCCACTATAATTCGTCTTCAACATCAACGCAATGGTTAGCCCTCTTGCAAGCAAATTTTCAAAATGCTTTGGCCATCAATGACCTTCACGAAGTTCCCACCTTTCAACGCACTGTCTCAAGTGAATTAGTGATGACTGTCATAGACTATATATACTTGGGTAAAATTTTATACCAATGCGCATCAGAATCATCTATTACCAGATTAGGAGCGAAATGGCCAGACCATTCCATATTACACACATCCTTACTCTTGGGCCAATCCTAGTTTGGTCATGGACTATGGCGTGCCAATCCAGTGTATGCTTCCCAACCTAAGCTACAAAATACATTAGAGAGGAATATACTACATTTGGATCAAGGATTTGATGAGAATATATCGCCCCAAGAAAAATGGGATGAAGTAAAACACAAAGCCGAGTCAATCATTAGAGGATATTCAGTGAATTACGTTGATTGGCGTACTAATAGAATTCGTGCTTTAGAAAAGAAACGCAATCGTTTATTACGCACATGTGATGTTTGGGTTGTGAAATGAAAATAGAATAGAATAAAAAGAAAACAAAGAAATATAGTGAGACTGTTCAGTACTTTATTACAAATATGATTGATTCTCTAAGATATATCTTTTCCAGGTTGTCTTTTATACTACCTGATTTATTGACTAATTATGGTTAC